TAACTTTCTCCTTTGTTAGTGTGTGTTCACAGCTATAGAGAGTTGTCTATATTAGGGTTATCGGTATGTATTTATGAGGCTGTACTGTAAAACTTATAAAACATTCAATAGTGTTGAAAACTATATGAATGGATACCTGGAAATCAGTCATGATACCAGGTGTTCACAAGGGTCCTCCAAGTACCACCTGACACCCACAAAATTTTGCATAAACAATATGTCTTACTCCATACAGTGTGCTAGTTATAGTACCATTTCATGGTTCTGTTGGATGTCACCATTTAATTTCTCACAAAAAGATACTCAAAATACATTGTTTTTTGTTCAACATTCAGGTAGGAATATTTTCTATGTCTTTGATCTGGTAAACTCAAAGTGATAACAATTAACAATTATTTAATAGTGTATTTCTGGTTATGCTTTCTTAATTAATTTGATAATTGGTAAAATATTTTTTTGATTTCATGTCTTCCAACATGATCTAGATTTGTGACAAAGAAGAACAAAAGTTGATTGAGTAGAAAATTGTTTGATATCAGCTCTTTTTGTCAAGCATTAAATGCCACTGGAGGACAATAAATTGTCAAGAAGATTGTCCACATTGGCAGAGGTCACAAGCCCAATTGTCCTCAGCTCTTTTACAAAGGTCAGGGAATCGGTGCTCAATGGAGATGAGCTTAATCCTTTGCACTTGTCATTAAATCTGTTTTATCCAAATGAAGGATAAATTTATTTGTAATTAGCATTAAATTAATCAATGTTTATGTTAAGTTTCATTGTTTCATAAATTCCATTCCGTTGTAATTGGTCAGCTGATCTGTTTCATGATAAGATTGTACTTCGTGTAACAATGGACTTGAGCTCAGAGATAATTGATGTCATAGTGATAATCAATGTCTGTTTTTTGGGTACAACCTCAGCTTCTGGATGGTACTGTTTTCAATTCACATGTAAATTGTGAAATTAAGGGTTGTCATGATAATGCTCAAATTATGTTATAAATTTAACCACAGCTAAAACTTTTGCTGTTAATGTTCCATTTCCAAGTTAAACGTTCATAGCAGATAATAAACTCAGATTTATAATTTTGTGGTTAATTGTCAAATTGCATGTTGATGGGGAGAAACTGAATAATAATTTTAGATTTGCACAGAAATGTCCTTCCTCTACCAGCCACAGGACATTATCTTTAAGAATCTTAAATTGTTGAGATCATAATTTTGTCCTTCAGAGTGACCCCCCTCTACCACCACCAGCTACAGCCCCAAACATGTGAAGCATCAGTGGCTTTCAGCTGACAAGATACAAATGTTAATTAGCACCTTTTCTGTGTAGAAAGAAGTTGTCGGAAAGAACTAAGCCGACCCTTTCTTTGAAATGTTTTAGCAAACATCTGGCTGAAATCTAAATCTAAATTATTCATGGCTACAAATTTAATACTCATCTCCCTAACAAAGAAAGCTGTTACAATCTGTAAAAGTAAAAGCCTCTGATGTCAGAGGAACAGGATTATCATATTGATGACTTCCTGTGGTGGGAGGGGTTAATCCTTCCTTCCTTCATCCTCGGCAGCATCAACTCCCACCCCTTAGCCATGTCCATCATCCCCCATTCCATCATGGGACACTTTCTTTGTGTTCAATGTTTCATGGACATTGGCGCCATCAGAATGGTTGGGTAGTACATTTTGGTATTTCAAACTGCAATGGTATCTCATATCTACTTGCTCATTTATCATAGTGAATAAATGTTTAATTCTCATCAGAAAATAAAGCTGTGCTGCTTATGCTTTAAACTTGCAGTTAAAATTAAAGTTAAACTGAAACAAGAAGACCTTGTTCTTTCAAAATTCAGAACCCTTCAATGTTTATAGTTTTAAATTATCATGCATCTTTTCTTGGTTTGCATTCCTGTTTTCGTTTAATCATTCTTCTCAAACACTCATGCATGTTTTGATAAATCTTTGATTTATGCTCATTAGATAATAAAAATTCCTTGTCAAGGAATTACAACTGGATATCCAATCTTCCTGCTTATCAGCACCCAATGGGAGTCATGTTTTCTCCCTCTGAAAACATATTTCAATTCTTAGTTATAATGAAGCACATCAGGGCACAATTTCATTACTTTGGCCACAATATCCTATTCAGGTCTGTCAAATTAGGCAAAATAATAGGAAGAGAATTGGATATTGAAAAAAATCTAATCCACCAAATAAATCTGTGACTACACTTATAATTGACAGTGAAACAAAACAGTGTTAGCCTAGAGCGTTAATTGTCCATATACATGTACAGATGGTTTTCAAATCCAAATCTTTACATTTCCATTGAATTTGCTCCACAGACTGTGTGGTTAGATGTGTGGTTATAGACGGGGCCATGACAGGGGTGTTGAAACAACATGGCTGCCGCATTCACTGCTGCCCAATAAATCATACCTACTTCCAGTTGCTGTCATGTAAACAGGGGGGACCTGATGTCGGCCCTCTGATGCAGTAAATTACATGTAAAATATGGCTGCAGGACTCTGTGAGGGTGGTATATCATCTCATAATGGTAGATTTCATGACAAGGAATTAATGTAGTTGGAGCATGTTTCGTCTGCCCTCCTCATCCCAGGTTAGTGTACTAACCCTGCTATCAGCTCATGGTACATTGATGTTCTTTACGATGAGGTGTCTGAGGCAGCTGTACAGCTATTCTTATTCTGAATCATGGTTTCTTTTCAAGATTGTATATTTGGTTTACAATACAAGAAAATACATAAATACAATTCCAAACATAGTGTTACCATGACTGGGACTGGGTAAGAAAGACTCCCAATACTCTTTCACTTGTCAGAGGTGGGTAATCTGGTTGGATTGTCAGGCTTGATGGCCTGGCTCTGCTGTATCTGTGGGTAGTTGCTCATTGTATCACCCATTAGTTTGTTTGGTTCAGATTAAATTATCTGCAAGCTGCCACGATGTAACTTTGTGTTTAATCTCATCCACTTTCTCTGCAGACATGTAACACTGACAAACAACCTCAATGGCCGTGAACTGAATAATATCTGTTTGAACTCATAAATAGTTTGAGAGAGCAAATATAGTAGGAACTGACATCATGAAAAGAATTCCAATTTGTCATCATGAAAAACAGATTTTGAATTCCTGAACGTCACAACTAGTTTAGTTTTAATTTTGTAGTCAGAACAATGGTGGAAAGAAGCTTTACAACCAGCAGGAGTGTTCAGGAATGTTCTTGATGCATAGTCGTCCTTCTGTTTGGTAGCAGGATGTTCCCTCATGTTATTATTTCCCCGTCTTCACAGGGATCTCATCCACTGAATCCAGACAATGCTTAGGGATGATTAAGTTCGAACTGGTACGAATGTCCTACATGTGTCAAGAGACATTCCTAGCTAAACTTCATCCCAATTTTGAGGTTTGCAGTCACCAATGTACCTTGACTATCTGCAACATAAGCACACCAGCATTGGGGACATTCACAGATATCTTTCTCCCATGTACAGCGTTCTTTTTAGCTTGATTAAAGATGACACATGAGTGACTAGTCAGTTATGACATTTTTATGTAACATAGGAATTTGGGGGACCGTCAGCACATTTTGACATTGGCAGTGTGCTGTAAAGGTGAACTTCTGTAGCTCACAGCCAGCTGCAGGGTTACCTCCCTTGAGTCAGAATATCCTGTATTCAAGATCAACTATTCTTTCCAAACACTGACCATTGTAATTGTTTGCTTGTAATTATAAGCAGACATTTAAACTGATTGTATCTTCATCTATATTTTTATTAACGTAATATCTTGAATAACTATCAGTATAGGCTAGAAGGCTAAAGGTTGAAATCAAAACATCTTGCCAGTAAAAGGTTTTGTATTCAGGTCTAATAATCCTTAAACATTGTAGATACACAGCATGAAGTCCATAGGAACAATTGTGTGTAATTGCTAAGAACATTCTTGATGTGAAGTGTATATAATTACAAAGGTTACAGACTGCTTCTGGATGAACATAAATGGCAAAGGTAGAGATGTGGTTCAGGTAGGAATACTCCGTGGCTAATACAAGCATATAATGTTGTAAGTCTTGTAGCATATAAAGTAGATTTAATTAGAGATGGCTAGACATGGTAGATGAAGGGGTCACTGAAGGTATACCTGGGAGAACTTGATCAGTGGTTGGAATAAGCCATCAATAAAATCACCATTTCCCTGTAGGACACATCTTGATATCAAAGAAAGTGTTAAAATGATTTATTGATCATTGGAAGAAGTTTGTTTTAGGCTTATTTGTGTACAGCCATAAAACTGTACTGATTGTAGGCGAGATTGAAAAAGCTAGTTTGGTTATTGATAAATTTACTTTGTGGAAACATTAATCAGACTTTTAGGAGGTATTATTTGCAGTTTATTCCACCTTGCAATGTTTGTGGTCCATTTGCTGAAGGATAAGAGGATGTTGTGTTAATATGGTCACTTAACAGACAAACAGGAGCAGGTTCATCTATTCAAACAGATGCCTACCAGTGTCCCGTTACACCCAGCTACGAGGTCATGAGTACAAAGATATTTCACAGATGCAGATAATTTGTTTCAAATAACCAGAAAATATCATAGCTTGTGGAAGGAAGTATATTTAGCCAACTATGTTTGTAAAGTCTATGAAATCTGTATCATCACTTGGTTGCATTAACGTCTGCTCCAGCAGGAACTTCTCATCACAGTGATTATGCAATTTTCTTGTTAAACCCTACTTTCGTACATTTTAAGGAAACTGTTCTGAAGTATCTATTTTTAACGTATTTTTGTTTTAATGATCACATTTCCAAGTGGTGTTTTAGTCGGAAAAGCAAGATTGATCTTTCTTCATTATAGTTTTTCATCAATCGGACGTATTTTAACTTTGATGTTTCCTAATTCCAATCTTGCAGTGTAACCGCATCAACTGATGTTTTTTTGTATGATTTGACTGAAGTTTGGCTTTTGATTTCAGGACTTGCCACCTCCTGGATCCTATGATGTGGTCAAGTCTTACGAACGCTCACAGTTAAAGCACGAGAAGACCCTGCCTCGGTCTGAAGCAGCAAAACGCAAGCATGGCTCCTTCCTGTCCGCTGCCTCTCGATTTGCACCCCCACGTGACATTGTGTATGGCAAGGCTGATCCTGAGGTTCCAGGTAGGGTATTCCAAACACTGTCAACAAACCTATCACTCTATCGCTATAGTCAGTTATCCTTAATTTGCAATGTCAATCTTAGCTTCAGGGGAATGTCGTTTTTGATGATCAGTCGATGGAAATAACCTTTATCAATGCAATTTGTTACACCCCAGGATGTTCATAATATCAATCACTGGTATGACAAATCCTGGCTGGATTATTACATGTCTCTATGATATAGCTTAATCTAGCATTAAGCTACATTCTTTCACACACGCACATGCACATGCACATGCACTTGATAGATATGAGTCTATATTAGAATAAGTCAGTTTTGTAAAAATTATACACAAACAAGGGTACGCCAATTATGTGCCATCATGTTTGGAATCGACCTGAATGACATCCGGACACTGACGTTCATCTCTCCTCTCCTTATTATTTGAACTTACTGTTTCCTAAGGGAACATCTTTGAATTGGTCTACAGCAACCCATGCTTGGAATTGATAATGGAATGGATAATAGAATGGATAATGGAATGCGCCGGTCAGGCTCACTGACTTGGTGGATACATGTCATCATGTTCCATTTAAGTAGAATGGTGCTCATGATGTGAATCACTGGATTGGTCTGGTACAGACTTGATTTCTGACATACTTGCCATCATATAGCTGGAATAATGCTGAGTGCAGCTAAACAACAACCAAACCTACTATTAATGTTACTTCCATGCTGACCTCAGTAACGCAGTGAAAGTTTTAAGAACAGTTCCGCCTGCACCTTTGTGTGGCATTCACTGAGTGTGAGTCCACAACTATATATACACACTCTTCTCCCAGTCACGCTTCCTGTGATGGTTTTCAGAGATAGGACAGCTTTAACATATCTGTCATTTCCTTACAGAAAATTATATTGTGGCCTTTCTCTATTCAAGATATCACTTCTGTTGTTATATTTCTTCAGAGTTGATTCACACCGGTAGCACTTTCCATTGACATTAACTTCTCCACCTTGGATTCTACAGATTCATATCAAACGTTTGCCTTCTGATAGCTTTGTAACCAAAATAAAATGCATGAATTGTAATTTTGTCTAAAAAGTAAAGCTGTTTGTTTGGAATGGCAAGGGCCACTCACAGTCTGATTATCAGACAAGTTTGATTCTTTCATCAGTTTTTCTAAAAAGCAAATTCAAAATGGCAGCTGTATGATTGCATGTTGATAAGGCATGGCTGGGGTGTAAGTGATTTCGTCATTTGGATGTATCTGAACAAAGAACAGTTTACTGGTTAAACATTTCACCTTAGATAAAGGAATAAAAGATTGTTAGAAGTATTTACACAGGAGGTTCTGCCACAGTAGCCATGGAAAATTGTTTGGCCACCATTGATAAACTGTTCTTTTCAACAGATCTTTCTGAGGTTTCTTTGTTCGCCAGTTCCCATGTCAGATGAGATGTATATATGTTTATTCTTCTGTATAAAAAAAGCATAAGAAATGTTTTAAAAATTGCAAACATTAAAACATTTCTTTTGTAGACAAGAAAATAGTATCATGGGAATATTTGTATATAAGTGATGGAGATTTCTTAGTATCTCCATGCAGTCCTTGTTAATGCCAGAAACAATGATGGTTGGTTTGGACCCCGTTTCCCCTGTTAATGTGCCTAGTTTTGTCAGCACCTTGATTCCCGGGGGTGTAAGACCTGCAACACTTCAGGCCTTCTTCCACATCCGACTCAGATGCCATAGTAACAGGAATAGTGTTCAAGCAGTGTTAAGCCAAACTCACTCTCATCTTGGCTTCATCCATGTTGGCAAAGAGCAGTTGTCTTTGCTTCAGTCAATCATGATCATTATGATTGGGAATGAACCATGACCACAACTTATAACTGTATGTAATTCAGAATTTGATTCTCCAGAAACATTTAAGACTGAATAATCCTACCTAGAAATACATAACTATTATTCCATTAAGGTAAAAAAAAAAATATTCTTTGCACTTGGCGTACTTAGCTATAAAAACAATGATGGACTCAGACAAAGACATGTTTGATTGTGTCAGCTGTGCATAGTTTCCCCTTCCCCTCAAACACATCTACTAGATGCTGATAGAAAACAAGATTCCAATTAACATTATTGCGCTGCCATGTTCCTCACCATGTCACTGTCACCTGACATTATGTATATTTCTATCCAGAATATAAAAAACCATGTCAAGATTAGATCAGTAGACCATCAATTTCTGGCGCTAACAAATCCCAGATTCACATTCTTTTAGTCCTGACACATCAAGGTTCCTATCTTAAAAGATATTAAGGTTACTGCTGTAAACTGGCTGTCTTAATTAAGGTCATCAATGGAGATGCTCCATTAAACGCCTGAGTGCCGATTATTTCAAGATATACTCTTCATTGATAAACATGCTCAAGCTGCATAACAGTTTTACTGGAGAGCATCCAAGCTTTTAACAAGACAATTAACGGCCATATGGCGCCTGATAAACACTCTGTTGGTTGATATTTAATAAACTCTATTGAATATATTCCCCTGGTATGTATTTGATCAAGATTGAACAGAGATAGGGCATAGGGTTTAGATTTTGAGATTTCAATGTGCTTTGTGGAAATCTGACTTCCTGTGCAGTATGGATGCAGTGCATACATGATGTGGTTATTGTTTTACTGTAGGGTAAAGAAGTGAGCTTTGAATTGGTGATGTGTGCTGTAATTCTGTTCTGTGAAGTGATGTAGATAATATACTGACCAATTCATGGCATTGGGATAATGGGTACATCAGCAGTTGTCCTTCATCTTGCTGCCTCCACAGGAAGGCACAAAACTTTCAGGAGGAGTATCTTGAGTCCACTTTAAATTGTAGACACAATTATCATTTGAATGATATCAAACCAATTCTTCTAAATTATCTAATACATTTATAAGAAATTTCCATAATTCCTATCCTGATTTGTAATATTCATAAATCTTGTCAAATAACCAAACATTTATTTACAAACTGACATAAACATTGAATGTAATTACAAGCTACACCATCTCCAATTTGACACAAATCCTGCCCCAGTGTTAAAGGGCAGTCTCAAGTATATTTAGGTTTATAAAATATTCATATGGTCTTGATTTACATTGTCAATTATCTTGCGTATCTCCCCGTGGTCTGACCGGCCATTAGATGCCCTGTCCAGTGCTATCTACTTGAGGAACACTCAGTACCAATTACAGATCCCACATTAGCCACCATTTGTTGATAAACCGAGCCATTACACAGGTTTGTGTTTGAAGTCCCTGTGTGTTTAGCTGTAGCAGGGCTGGAATCAGCAGGGCTATGGTCAAGTAGCCCTGAGTCAGCCGGCTGGGGACTCCCTGAACACCTACAGGTTAAGCTGGCTTGTCTGCCATGGCACTACTTCTGGACCCAAACTCGACTTCAAACAATAAAGTACGGAGTAGACATTTTGTAGTTACTGCAAGTGAGTGATTTATTTGAACAGGTTTGAACAGTTTCTAGTTATATCAAGGCATTTATGACGTAGGTGAAGTCTTTGAGCACAAACATTAATAGGCCGACACATTATAATTGTATAAACATTATGATTTATGGGGACAGTAACAGTTGAGGTCAGGAGAGTGAGTGAGTGTGTGAGTTAAGTTTTACGCCACACTCAGTAATATTCCAGCTATATGATGGCGGTCTGTAAATAATTGAGTCTGGACCAGACAATTCAGTGATCAACAGCATGAGCATTGATCTACACAATTGGGATATGATGGAGTGTCAATCAAGTCAGTGAGTCTGACCACCCCATCCGTTAGTCGCTTCTTACGACAAGCATGTGTTACTGAAGATCAATTCCAACCTGGATCTTCATGGGTCGGGGGTCAGAAGAAGGGGAGGAGGAGGGGAGCACTATAGTGGACAAGATTTGGTTGTGTAGTAGTCATGAGGGTACATACCAAATGTTCATCAACTCAGCTGTGCTAGTTTACCTCTAATGGCAATAACTGGTATATAAGTATGTTGTTGTAGTGGTTGGATGACACGGAGCATTCAGGGTATGTCCCCAGCAACCTGTACTGGTCTTCCACTAGACTAATGCTAAGTCTCTGAATATATATAATTTTGATAGTAACAAACAAGCCCATTTAAATTGAAAAGGAGCCCTAGGGAGACCAGAGATTCAGAACCTGAGGAAATCTAGACTTGCTTTATTAAGGGCTTTAGCACTGCAGAGAGGGCTTGGCAGTAGGGAAAATAATGTGGTTCAGGGACGGACTAGTGTTCCACATGATTAGTGACTTGTTCATGTGTCATCCTACCCCAGTAGCCATCAGATATCAAGAAATAGCTTGGATAATGATATGGATGGATCAACAACAAAACAACACACAAATTAGTCTGCCCCCAATCAGTCCACACAGAATGAGATGTGCTCTATGTTCTAGTGACAGAAACTAGTTAATCAATCAAAAGTCTAGAACTAATATGAGAAACAAATATCTTTGAAACATTTCATCCTCATCCTCAGAGATTTATCCACAGACATTACCTATGTATGATATTGATAATCATAACAAATTAAGAATTTCTTCACAAAAAATACTACTTCTTGTTTTTGTTCTTCATTTAATTTGATATTTGAATTATTCAGTGCAGTAAAGAATGCATGGTAATCTTGTGGGAAAAACCTTAGTCTCCTCCCTTTGTCCTGCTGCGTTCTTAATGTCATTACCGCCAGCAGATAGATAGGCTAGGTCGCAGGTCATCCCATCCCAACCGATAAAAGCAAATTACATTTCTCTTGTTTCTGTCCTTCAGTACTGCTATCTTATTCTTAGTGCCATGGCCTGTACTTAAGGTCGCTGTTTCTTCATGCCTTGCAGCTGAGTGATATAACAAATAAACTGATTTGTGTGACATGTTGGGGATTCTGGCTGGAGACAAGGAGAAGCCATTTAACACTTAGACAGATTAATCTTGTACTTAATTTGTTCTTTCAATCTG